ACTACAGTGGGGTCTTGACTTACGAACTTAATCCGTATTGGAAGGCAGTTCTCAGGTCGAAAAGTTCTTAAGTCGAATCTGCATTTCCCATAGGAATGCACTGAAAACCATTGTAACAAAGACCAAAGAATCAAAAATAATTAGAACCGCAATAAGTCTGAAAGACTGGTAAGCTGCATTTAGCATCAGTTTTTGTGGCACTGTAAACATTTTAAAGACTAATAATTTTTGTTTGGAATAAGCATCCATAGACTTGAACCGAAATCTCTGAATCTATAAAAAAATAGGCTGCAAGTCCATGAAACCCTATGGCCAATAAAACCTGCAATCCTTTAAGACTCTTTATTGTTTTTGCTGCAACAGACTATCACATAGCCACCTCTTTGGAAAAATGAATGTAATACCCCATAGTTGTAAAATCTAAGTACATGTCTTCGTACTCAAAATACCACGAGCAGCAGCAACAGCAGTACTAATGCAGTTCTGTGAACAATTCCAGACATGAGCTAAAATGTTATTGAGTAAGAGTTTGTGCAAAGTCTTGCACAATCTCTTGCCAATGTAGATACACTTCTGTGCTTTCAGGCTCACTGTTCCCATGCAACACCCTTCTGCTGGGCTAGCACAGTCCTTCTGTGAGTGCAAGACCACTACAACAGCGGTCCCCAACCTTGGGCCTCCAGATGTTCTTGGACTTCAACTCCCAGAAATCCTGGCCAGCAGAGGTCATTACCCCTTCCAAACCATACTTCCTTGAACATATCTCATACACAGGAAAAAGTCCTATTTCTTTGTTGGGCCCACAGCAGGACTCTTCTAGACCTAATGTAAGGATGTAGCCAGCACTTTCTTGGACCACTGCACTACAAGATCCAAGCTGCTGCACAAAAAAACCCAGCATGGAACTCTTCAAAATCATCTTTGCTTTTAAACATACTATTCTATTACCCCCTCCAAACCATACTTCCTTGAACGTATCTCATACACAGGAAAAAGGTCTATTTCTTTGTTGGGCCCACAACAGGACTCTTCTAGAACTAATGCCCTTCTGTGAGTGCAAGACCACTACAAGATCCAAGCTGCTGCACAAAAAAACCCAGCATGGAACTCTTCAAAATCATCTTTGCTTTTAAACATACTATTCTATTACCCCCTCCAAACCATACTTCCTTGAACGTATCTCATACACAGGAAAAAGGTCTATTTCTTTGTTGGGCCCACAACAGGACTCTTCTAGAACTAATGTAAGGATGTAGCCAGCACTTTCTTGCCCAGGCAGAAAACCCACTGGATCTCATCCTCATCGTGCCAAGTCCAAAGTGGTGGAGGCACCACAGTCAGTTTTGCTCTACTTGCAGTAAGTAAGGTACAGATCTTTGTATATGAAGTACATTTAGACTCCAAATACGTATAGTACGCATGTCATGCAGCACAGTACTGCTCTCAGCATTGAAAAAACAAAGTGCTGCAGTTGAATGTGGTCAAGAGAGGTCTGACATTCCTAGGACAGGAATGCTCATGCACTTCGCTTTTGGGTTCACTGGAGTGAAGGATACTACAGGCGCCTTCATTAATGGTCCAAGAACAGGTGTTTAATTCTACTATTTACATTACAGGATATTCATAACTGTGCATGTGTGCCAGTTCAGTATTGCATCACACTCTAGCAATACCATGCAAGCAAGCAAGCAAAATAAGTTTATTGCATGGCACACAGGCCATTGCAACATACATCAGATAAAACAATATAAAACAATATAAATGATACAATATAGTTCATTAAAATGTAGTACAATAAAATATTAAAAGCCATTTAGAATCAAATCAAGTTGATCTCTATTACGGGACAAAGTTTTAACATTTTAGGACAAAGGCAGATGGAAGACATTAACCAATGCTAGCAGCAAGCACTTATCGTGAGGGGAATAACTCCAAAGATAGTTACTTAAGTATTAACTTAATTGTTAGTCCGAAGATAGTTACTTAAGTATTAACTTAATTGTTAGAGGTGGGGGATACAGATTTCATTTTTTACAATGTAGAGATAAACCATGCCATTAGGAAAGTGACAAATTTGTCTCTGTCAGAAAGTAGGACCTTGAGCTTTACTTGTTCAGAATTACTAGAATATATTTGTAAAATACGGTTGAGAGATCTTTCGCAATAGGTCTTCAATAGTGGACAGTAGAGCACTACATGTGCCAAATTCTCCACTGATTTTTTTTATCACAAGAGCAAACTCTCTTGGGATATGGAATTTGTGTATTGCGTCCTAATAAACTGGCTAGTGGTAACATATCAAAATGTGCCCGAGTAAAAGCTTTTCTATAATCAAAACTCATTAAATCAGCAAAATAAGATGGAAGATTTAAAGGCGAGGGTAAAATGTTCTTATATAAAGGGGCTGTTTTTAGGGTGCCTAACAAACCTAAATAGGTTTGAACCCAGTGGTCGGACAATCGCTGTTTCAGTAAATGTTCTGCAGTGGGTAGGCCAAGGTGTCTCACATACTGTTCACAGAATCTAAGTTTAGCAACCAGTTGCAGTGCTAAAAGGTTTCCACGATCCAAAATTCATCTCCTCATATGATGCTATTAAAAATTCTGACTGAGTGATGAACAAAATTTTCAGCCAGTAATTAATTATTAACTTATAGGCTAGTGTCTACTTATTGACATTAGTATCAGTTCTAATCTAAGAAATGTTGAGAGGGTTGAAGGGGGGATTGTCAGGAGGTCCATGCAAAATAACATAAGGGAAAGAAGGCAGGATAAGATTTTATTCTCAGTGGATAAAGTTATGGGAAGCAAGGAATACTCCTTTCGTCTGTTCTATAATTAAATCATGGCAAATCACCCATATGGAGAGGATAAACCTCTCTTTCCTCATGCAGCATCCACTGGCCCAGCCCTAACAATCTGGCAGCTCACAAAGATGCAGTGTTTGTTCACAGCACGTATACATTATTTAGAAAATCTTTGCAATATACAACTCTGCCACACAGCCAGCTAAACCAGAATTCTTCTTCTTATCGGATGCTTTATTTGGAAAAGACTGCTATTTTAAGACAAAATATACTAAAGATAAAAACAATATATAATATAGAATCACACCTCCCCTCAAGAGGATAATCAATGGCTCGTAATTAAAAAATTATCAATCACATTCAGTAGAAGATGGGAGTTTTACTAGCTGATAGTAAGTAATATTGTTGTTCCCTGTCATTAGTGACAGAACAAGACTGAAAGTTAAACACTGTCAATCTCTACTTTGCCACTGTTTGTCTGCTGTTGCTGTTTATAGGACTGTATAATAAAAATGGATCATAAATCGTTACCAGTTGTGAAATGCAACTAAACACCACTGCCCCTTTATCTTAAGAAAACTTTATCCTGTGATCTCTGTATTCTAATTCTCATGTCTGACAAAGCAGACATGTATGTTCCACAAGAGCATACATTAAAATACAACAGTTAGTATTGAAGGTGCCACAACATTTTTCTTTGCTTTTGTTTTATGCTTCTTATTCAAGTGAGTAGTGAGGTTTAGTCATACACCTCATACAGTACATTTTAACTATCCATCTTCGAACAGTAATACTGTTTAGCTACTAATACTAAAAGGGAAAAGAAAGGAAACACCAGGAGATGCAATGAGAAAAGTATACAGGAAGTAAATACTGTATATATATTCTTGTCTCCACTAAAACTTTAACACTGCTTTATGTTCTTTTCTTGCAAATCAATTTTCCTGTTAAGTTTGTATGTAACAGGTACAGTGGACTCTTGACTTACAGACGGCTTGACTTACAGACTTTTTGAGTTACAGACTTCTCTGGCCGCAAAATTTAGGTTTGACTTGCAGACTGAGAATTGACTTACAGACCAAAAAAAACCCAAAATGGAACAAAAACGGCCTGTTACAGGATTAATCGGTTTTCAATGCACTGTAGGTCAATGGAGACTTGACTTACAGACTTTTTGACTTGAGAACCGCCTTCCAATACGGATTAAGTTCTCAAGTCAAGACCCCACTGTATGGCAAATGAACTATCCCCTGGATTATTTCTATTTTATCAGAGACTACATTCCACTTTAACCAGCGCCTCATCAACTGCAGTAGCATAGCAGTATATAATTTACTCTAGAAAAGTTTATGCTTGAGGAATTTCAATAATTAGGATTCTTACTATTATTATTAGTGTGTACATGTGTGTACATGCATGCTTTGAGTGTTCAAAATATTTCATACACAATCTCAATAATCCTTGAAACAACCATGTTAATCTTATTCCCCAGGGTGAGGACCAAAGGACATATGTTTGCCTATCTCTTCTTACTATGCTTTCAGGAAAGGTGGCCGTTTATTAAAAATTTAAAACTCAAGCTAATGAAGTACACACAAAAATCCTGTAGAATAAAAGTACTTCTTGGTGTCTTTACTGCACCATGTTAGTGCTGTAAATACAGAATGAGAAATGTAACTGCATTTCAAGATACAAAGAACTGAAAAATATACATAATGATTAAAACACATTGGCATTAGCGATTCTTTATGAATTGTAGGAAATTCATTTTTAAACTGAATTTTCTAAAAAATGAACACCAGACATACATGGAAAATCTTCCCTGATATACTGAATAGTTAAGACATTTACAAAGAAGTATGAAATGTGTTATGAATGCACAAGGGCACTTCAGAAAAAAATTATAAAAGCAAGCATATATGAGTTCTATTTTTCCATTAAATGTTTATTATTTTGCTATCAATCCACACATAAATGATATTTTAAAGACACATAAAATACTAAATGTGTACATAAATCCATTTGTACTTGAACATGAATGCCAAGAGGCAGACATTTGTATACTGAGGAATGCAGACAATGATACCACTAAATTGTGTCAGGCATAAGTTGTTCTGGAGAGAGAGCGAGAGAGAGAGAGAGAGAGAGAGAGAGAGAGAGAAGAATCATGGGTAACTTTGAACAATGTACTCACATCTGCATAATGGCCTCTCATATCACAGCGGTTACAATGTTTTTTCCAGTACATTCTCTCAAGGCATTCTCTAGAGAAGTGTCCAGGCAAACAACAATTTAAACAAAACCGTGCAGGACAGCTGTTTTGCAAGTGGCCCCTCTGTGCACAGAGACAACAAGGTGGAATTTTCTGTGGAAGAAATAAAAAATCAAATGGCCAAGCCATCTATGGAATTCAAATGAAGTCAGAAAAGCCTAGGCTGATGTCCCATTGAGATCCACAAATAACCACAACTGGTTTGTATGAAACTCACCTGCTTTTCTACACTGGTGCCCAAGGAGGCTAAGACCAACAGCAATAGTAAATACATAACAATACAAAAGCAAATAGTAACACAGGTGAGGGCAGTAACATCAAAGGAAATAAAAATAGCAGAGGAAATTAAAAAACCACAGCCACTAGAAATCAGTAGGTAAAAAGCAAATCATTTTGTTAAAGGATTGACCAGTCAGAACAAGAGACTCTTAAAACAGAATTTAATATACAGTGGTGACTCACAAGACGAACACCTCGCCGGACGAAAAACCTACAAGACGAAAGCGTTTTGTGATTGTGTTGGTGACTCGCAAGACGGCTTCTTCTATGGCCGTGCTTCGCAAGACAATTTTTTGCGCAAGACCGATGCCTTGCAAGACGAAAATAATTCATTCGTCTTGCAAGGTTTCCCATAGGAGTGAACTGCAATGCATTCCTATGGGAAACCGCTTTTCGCAAGACAAAGATTTCACAAGATGGCATTATTCGTGGAACGAATTACTTTAGTCTTGCGAGGCACTTTGTGGAACGAATTACTAGTCTTGCGAGGCACCACTGTAGAAGGTAACTACAGAAAGAAAGATGACTTGAAAGGAGAGTTTAACAGGCTAGTTGCCCCTATGGAAAAGGCTCTTCCTCATGTCACTGCCAAATTTATTTCCAACATAAGCAAGACATAACGAAGACCTCTATAAAAACATCAAATCCGAAAAAGATTTATAAAGTGAGAAGACAGTTATTGGAGGAGTTTCCAGACAACATTTTTCCTATGTAATACTACCTCATTCATAGTATTGTGTTTCTCTAAAAATAAGACACGGTCTTATATTAAGTTTTGCTCCAAAAATGCATTAGGGCTTATTTTCACAGGATGTTTTATTTTTTTCATGTACAACAATTCACATTTATTCAAATACAGTCATGCCATATTGTGGTTGCAGCACAATGGTGGTGAGTGGGGTTTTACTTAACTGGGGCTTATTTTTGGGGTAGGGCTTATACTGCGAGCATCCCAAAAATTATACTAGGGCTTATTTTCAGGTTAGGTCTTATTTTCGGGAAAATGGGGTAGTCTATGGGAGATCCGGAAGTTGTTGGCTTAATTTTACAGCCCTCCCCACACTTTCCCCATCATTTTTCTTAACCTGATGGAACAGAAACACAGTGGCTAAAATAATGTTGTGCAGTTCTGTGAAAGGTGTAACTGTGAGGTGCTGTAAATTAAGAAATCTCCATATGTATCATCTGTTGCATGCTGAGTCACAGGACTCAGTGTGCAAAAGACAATGTCTAGGAAGCTTATTATTGCTATCTTCAAGATAGCAATGAGGACACCTGAACACAGAACTATTCCCTCACCGGCTGAGTACATTTAAGGACCATCAGAATTTCAACTACCCACAGCTCTCATCAAACAAATAGTGCTGAAAAGGAGCCGTGCCTTTCTTGTCATGTAAAGGCCAGCTGTAAGAAGCTGTGTTTGTTGCTCACTGGAATGTACTGACTTATATACTGAATTTATCAATACCAACTTAAAGAAACAGCCAGGATGCCAGACAGATCCACAGTTTTGCTGAATGTGAATTTTAGAAAATTCTGTAGAGATGAGTCAACTCTCTGTAGTTACAGGCAGAGATAGTCTCTAGGTAGAAAATGTAGAGCCACGTCTTCTGATGTGGAATGGTGAAGTTCTACACAAGTCTGTCTTTAAACTAACGAGTCAACTGAGTCATTGATATATATGCAGAGAGAGACACTACAGAAAAGTATGTTAAGCCTTATCCATGTTCAAACGTTCATTCCTTGTCCAACAACCCGATATTCCAGTAAGAGTCATCATTATTCTGTAGCCCATCTCCCAAATATAACATGATCTACCGTATATACCCGAGTATAAGCCGACCCGAACATAAGCTGAGGCACCAATTTTACCACAAAAAACTGGGAAAACTTACTGACTCAAGTATAAGCCGAGGGTGGAAAATGCAGCAGCTACTGGTAAATATCACAAATAAAAATAGATACCAATAGAAATACATTAATTGAGGCATCAGTAGGTTAAATGTTTTTGAAGATACTGCCCTTCTGAGCTGCGAGACACACTTCACTGCCTGGGAGGGTAGGACACATACCGGATGCTGTGCTTATCTACTGCTCTACTGCTGCGTAACAAGATGGAGGGAGATGGAGGATGGAGGAGGAAGGTGGGAGGAGCAAGATGGCTGCATAGAATATGCAGAAGGAGGAGGATGGGAGTGTGCAGGAAGCGGAAAAGCAATGTACTTAACCCGGGTCATCGGACCACCCACAGAGGCTGCAGGCGCTCGTAGATGAGCGGGGGAGTCTGGAGCACACCTGCACTGCAGGGAAGAACATGTAATTTTAACACTGACTCGAGTATAAGCCGAGGAGGGGTGCTTTTTCTGCAAAAAAGTTGTGCTGAAAAACTAGGCATACTCGAGTATATACAATAATTTATGCTTGGCAGTATTAAGCTTCAACAGAGACTACTTGTTTTCCCACTCCTCCCATCTAAACAATGTGTACAGGAAGCTCTGGGACCCATGGGAGAGCAAAATGTCTAGGATCTATAAGTTGCTTTGCACTGAATGAGGACTAAGGGCTGAAGTCTCTTGCTCTCAAACGTAGCCTAAAAATAGTTCCAATAATTTTTACATTGAGCAGATCTTCCATTCCTCCAAAGACATTAGTTTTGTCTGCACGTGAACCTAGGTGAGAGGAGGAGAAAAACAAGTCTCCATTAAGCATATGGGAATGCCACATACAGCCTGTGTGGAGTAGATCATGCTGCAATCATATAGGCAGCAATAGAATTACTCTCATCATAAGTGCAGCTTGCTTTTCTAATAATTCCTAATATAAGGTACACAATTTGAAGAAATAATCCAGTAATGATCCCTGGGACAAAACTAACTTCTCCATTTCCTGACTAGGACAGGGGCATGATCTCATTCACCATTTTTCTCAAAGTGGTCCTCAGTATTACTTCTGGCCACCACTTTAATATCTGAAAGTTGTCACCTGATAATGACAGAATAGTTATCTAAATGGAAAAACTGAAATAATGTGTTTACCTTTGGGACAGGACAGTTTTTTGATAAATGGCCTCGTTTATCACAATTTCGGCAAATGACATTTTTGTCTGATGAGTAGTATCTGTAGTTATGTCGCACTGGAACATGGTTACCTATCTGTGCCTAAAGAAACAAAAAGAAATTTGTTAGATGTTTACAGGTTATTGCTCTGCCATCTTTAACGTTTGCAGTTGCCAAAACTGGAATGCCAAGTTAAAAATCCAACTGTGCATACTATAGTTTTATTTATGTATTCATTTCTGAATTTATATTTTTACCTTCCTTCCAATATAAAGCAACTGAAGGAGACTTACAAAATATTTAAAAGATAAATTTAGGTCAAAATATAAATTCAGCTAACAAACTACAGAATTAAAAAAAGCAAATAAACATATTTTACACTAAATCGACCACCAAATGAAAAACCACTGAAAACAATTTAATCAACCTTTTGAAAAGGTTAAAAAACCCTGCAAAAGCCACTTCTGTAGCCAGCCAGATGGAAAAAAATCTGTCTAAACAGAAAGCCTTTGCTTGTTGGAAGACGAGTAACAGGAAAGGGGCAGCCATGCCTCCTTTGAGAGGGAGCGTCACCACCTACGAGCAGCGCATTAAAATGCTCTTTTTAATGTCCTCAATAGGCACACTTTTGAGGAAGATGGCATTCTGAGAATGTCTCTTCTGAACATCTTAAAATGCAAGGAGGCTTATCCTTCAGACTACCTGGATTCAAGCCACTTGGGTTTTTAGAACTTTATAGGAATTTTTATTTATCTATTTAACTAAGGTTAATTTATTTAACTAAGTATATGACCCAAAATGCACTTCAATCCCTATTAATCCCCACATTTATTCATTATGCATTACTAAATTCCATTTAAAGTATTTTTAGAAGTTGATTTTTTAACTTTAGTTTTGTCAGTCTTAGTATTCTTTCATATTGTATTTTGAGAACTACAGAAATAATTAATTGCAAAGACAACTTTGAATAAATACATGAGATATATAATCTACTGAAACCCTATACAAGAGGCGATAAGAAGCCACACACACACACACACACAAAAGAAAACTGCTAGAAATCAAAACTTTGATCTCAAAATTCTTGCAGTAAGCTCCAGGTGTTATGAGTATGTCTTTAGATACTTAAAAATATAAGAAAGAGAACTTAAAATCAAGAATTTAAAATGTAAGTTATTTTTCTTGAGATAGTGATTATTTCTTTAACACGATTTTGCAGGGAGGCACAATGATTCCTCATTTATTTGGTTGATGCAGTGTAGTCAATGGCAGTAATGGGCCCCTACTGTCTTTCTAATACCGAAGACTACAGTTGATAGTGACCATGTTATTCAATTAGAAGAACACATACTGTGGCAGCTATTTGTGGCTAGAGCAAAAGGTCAAATAAATGTGAACATAGAAGTAAAAAAAAACTGTTGTGTGAGCTGAAGAGTAATAAGAGGTCCAAGCATAAAAACTACAGACTTCAAACTGTGGAATATCAGAAACATAAGGAAATACAGCAGAAATCAAACTCTTCAAAGGCAGTGGTGCAGGATGCCATTGTTAATTCAATATTCACCATTTCCCCCCCCCCACAAAATCTCATTTAGCTACACCTTCCTTAGATTAGCAATAATTTTTCATGAGTAGTAACAACCAAAACTAGAACACAAATTAAACTATTATAAGCAGCAAAAACTGGTGGCAGCTTCCATAAGGATTCATCATCTAAACCATTTTCTGGAATTCTAGTGCAGCATTTAACAATTTATTCCACATAAGCAAATTTTTATTTTGTGTTCATGTCTAATGTCAACTAAGAATATGTGTCAAACACAATTGGAAAAAACAGTACTTCAACATAGAGTGGCAGATATTGCCTAAATTAAAAACTAATTAGCCTGTATGAACAAAACAAGTCTTAGCAAGATTCCAGGGGCAGAACATTCTACAACATAGGTGCAGCCCCAGAAAATATCATAAAACAAGCATCAGTAATGTCTTGAAAGGTAAAGGTTCCCCATGACATTTAGTCCAGTTGTGTCCGACTCTAGGGCATGGTGCTCATCCCCATCTCCAAGCCATAGAGCTAGCGTTTGTCCATAGACAGTTTCTGTGCTCTCGTGGCCAGCACGACTAGACAAGGAACATTATTACCTTCCCACTGAGGTGGTATCTATTTATCTACTCGCATTTGCTTGCTTTCGAACTGCTAGGTTGGCAGGAGGTGGGGACAAGCAACGGGAGCTCAGTCTGTTGCGTGGATTTTATCTTACGACTGCTGGTCTTCCGACCTTGCAGCACAGAGGCTTCTGCGGTTTAACCCACAGGGCCACCACGTCCCTTATTTATAATATTAGAAGCAGCTGAACATTCAAGTCCACCAGGACCCTTTTCAGAACTGGGCATTTCATAACTTGAGCAGGGTGGGAGAGAACACAAATAGGTCAAAAAAAAACCTGTCCTGACTAGGTACTGCATTATCACGTGGCCTCCATCAAGCTATAGTGCCCAACCTGATGGAGTCCTCCTGGACTTGAAAGCTTACCTGCTTCTAATATTTTACTAGCCCATTAAAAAGATATTATGTAGGCTAATAAAGGTATTATCTCTAAAGTGCACCAACTTTTTTTCCCTTTTTCACTTGATTATGGGAAACAACTGGAATAGCCACGCAGGGCACTATCTGCAACCAGGGGAGATCTACCATAACTCAAAGACTGTTTCAACTGAGAACTTCACTTACCTCAATGGCTATTTATTACTTTTAATTTTGCTGCTACTGATATATTTGGTCCAGTAGGTCAATTAAATGTAATCTGCAGGTTCTTCAACATGGGAATAGCCATTACTCTTTTTTTTAATCTCTCCTCCAAGCCAAACAAGTGCCATAAACTTTGGCACGGGTTGTGGTGAACACACTAGGTGTTTAAGAGCTCTTCACGTACAGAGATGGACAAAGACAATGCTCTTGCCTTGCTTAAAGCAAAAACAAAACAAAACAAAAAACAAACTCCCCCCCCCGATACCTCAAGTGATGTAACAATTTTGCAGCATCCATCTTGGGACATCACTTTAAATCAGATCCTGAGACTGCAACATCTTGTCAGTATACATTTTAAAATTGTCCTGCTTTTGCCTCATCTGCCTCAAGCTTTGCAATGCCTAGCCTGATGAACAGCCTTGGAGGATCTGACAGCTCACCTGCTCTTAGTATTTTTATGGTTCAGTAAAGGTGCTGCTCACTCTTGTTTTTATTTTGCACAAGGATCACACAGCCTTTTACTTTTCTCAGAAAATACAAGGCTGAAGAGCCAATCTCTTCTCTTCTAAGCAAATGCAACCCTCAAGTCCCTCATGTACTTTGTGGAAAAAACACTTTCATTTATCAAATACAGCACACTGTTAAAAGGACTTCATATATGAAGTTAAAACTGCAATCATATAAGCCTAGATATTTTACAGTGGTGCCTCGCTTAGCGATTGCTCCATTGAGCGATGAAATCGCTTTGCGATGGACTTTTGGCAATCGCTGGAGCGATCGCTTAGCGATGTCCTCTATGGCTAAAATTCGCTTTGTGATGATCGTGGGGGAGCGATCATGGCAAAGCGAACTTTTGTAAACAGCTGATCGGCGTTCCAAAATGGCCGCCGCAAAAACAAAATGGCCACCACTGTTTTGCCTCACTGTAGAGGCACCCAAAATGGCCATCGCTATGGAGGAATTTCACTTTAAGGTAAGTTTTTAGCCCATAGGAACGTATTAAATGTGTTTTAATACGTTCCTATGGGCTTTTAAAAATCGCTTAGCGATGAAATCACTTAGCGATGTTTTTTCCTGCACGGATTAACATCGCTAAGTGAGGCACCACTGTATTTTGATAGGGTTCTAACAAAATCTGAAAAGTTATGTGAACCAAAGCTGTGTTTTAATTACAGATCTCCTTTTTGAAGTTTGATTTTAATATCATTTTTTAAATAAGCAACAGAAATACTTCTATTACTCTGCCACTCTGTTTTTGAAACAGCTAATGTTTGTCATCTTTTGTCTTTGAAAAAAATCCAGATGATTTTTTAAAAATCAGTTTCTCTGAACTGACTGATGAATATGCAGAAAGGAAAATTAGTCCAGGCTACCTGGAACTATAGATTCTGAGTGATCAATTAGGAGCAATAGCGTTTATCCTGAAGGGCTGGTTCAAGCTGTAAATTCCCCCACAATACCTATGCAGCTATTCAATATATTATTGCATCTGCTTTTTCCCTGGCACCAATCAGACATCCAGGAAAATGGCATTCCCAAGGGTACCACCATTGCTGATAGTGGGAAGGGGTGTGGCTCAGAGGAGAGCACAACTACTTCTTTAAAAATACATTTTATTAAGTACTGAAGAAATGCAACAGAGATATATATCTTGTATTGACACACAAACAAATGCAAATACTGGTGACAGAACAATCCATCACTTTCCCAGAATGAGTCTTCACTTTTTAATATGAGTAATTATTATAGCCCAATAGGTTCTTTGTAAGTTCTACATGAACATAGAGGTTGCTATCTATTTTCTTCTTTCTATTGTATAAATGTAACAAATGGGAGCCAGATTATATCAAATTCATTAGCAACTTTTTGTGTATTAGCTCACCAAATTTCTTTTGTCAGCCCTTCAGCAAGGACTACAACCTAAATATGCTTTACCACCTATTTAAAGATAGTTCTTCACCATCTTTCCATTTTCAGGTCAACTGTTATCTTGCTGTTACAAATAGAAACAATAATAAATGATTCTACTTGTAACAGCTTTATCTTCTTACTTGTAAATCGATTATACAAGGGCATTTTCATAGAATCATAGAGCTGGAAGGGACTGCAGTGGTCACTGAGTCCAGCCCCCTGCTAAATCAGGAAATCCCTACCTTAAGCTTCTCAGACAGGTGAGCTCTCAATGATACTGTGCTTAGGGAAAAATGCTATTGTCCTTTGTGAGATGAATTCTGCTAGCTGAAACAAATTCTGTCACCAAACCCGTCACTGGACGCCAACACTTGACACTTGAAAATTCAACTATTATCAAACAAAGATGTGAAAAGGAGCCATGTGCAAGCTTCCTGGGGGTTTCTGTATGTAATGAAAAGTTTCTTCACATTATAGTTCCAGATTCCATAGCAATCTTTTATAGGGATTTACTGTAATGAATATTTAGAGACTTCACTGTGGTCTTTGTCATACCTTGAATCGCTCACTTGCCTGCATAATCCTTGACTCACTTGCCTGCATAATCTTAAGACATTTGTACTGCAGATACATTGAGAATGGTGAATCCTGGATTTCTTGCTCTCTGTATTTCTCACCGTTTCATGCAAGATGATCAGGGATAGGGACAGAAACACACAGATGCCCCAGACATTCGTGAAGGTGTTAAACAACTCCTTATGAATTTATTATTTTATAGATATGAATATGATTTATTTGTATCATGTATCACTGGACCAGTTTTACAAGTAGTAGTTCTTTTTCAGGTCCAACAAATACCATAAAAGACAGAAGGGAAGAGTATAAATGGATCAGGGCAAGTTACCAACAAAGAAGGAAAACCATATTTTCTATATATGTTGATTTGTAACACTTTTTTGTCCTCTCACAAAAATATTTCTCTATTTCTATAAGGGACTTTATACCAAATAATTCTACTGCAGAAATATATGATTAGTCTAAATGGAAGAATGTGTTATTTTTCTCTTTTTATACTTCTGCAGTTGTTTGATATTTCTAGTAACTGTGAGGAGTACATAAACTTATGATGAAGTATATTCTAAGCATAAACAGTCTTTGTTTTCTTGAACATTCCTAACTAATTCAGTCAATATTTTACTCTATGAAAGACACTTAATCTGTATTTTAGATCTTGGCTTTTGAAAGCATACCAACTTGTACTGTTCAATTCACCTATAATTTAAGTTTTCTACTTCTATAATTATTATATTAGAAATTACCACAGGAAATGGCATTTACTATCTCATCATGCATTAGGAAAAGTACATTTGTATTTTAAACAAAGACACACAACAACTATTTCTAGATATGTATATACCTACAAGCATAATTCAGACTATTGGAGCAAGCTTCCTACAGGGAAATTGACCCACACTGATAATTTTACTGTTTGTTCACAAGCAACAGAGTAAACACAGACTGTAAAGACACAGTATCAATTTACCTCTAAGTCTTTATCATTGATGGTCCAACCCGCAGCACTTTTCCCTGCAAAACAGATATTTTGAAAACAATTAATTCATTCAATTGGGATGTTTTACTCACCTATAAACATTTCATAATAAATGAAAACTGCATTTTGAAAAAGCTGAATCCAAAGGGAAAAAATCTATGAAGGAAGTACACAAACATTTTATACTAATACATGCCTTTGTACTGACCTGAAACATAATCTACAGCAACATACTCATGCAAGAGGTTTATAGTTCATTTGTAAATGAATTGTGATAATGTTTTTATTAAGGATACAGACATTTTCAAACTAGGTTTCAAGGAACATTAAGACTCCTCAGAAGCAATCCAGGACTCTGCGCTGAGAGGATCGATAACAGTGTGGAGGAAGTCACCTGAAAGACAATCTCTTCACTGCTACTTACCTTATTTTACAAGGCACTGTTAGAAAGGAATGTTCTAACTTCCCCTGATTCAAGTGGAAAAAGAGCAAGGCTCAACCGTTTTTGAGATTCATTTTTCTGCTTTGTTTAATTTTTGGAATTATTTATATTTATGTGCTCAATATATTATAGCCAACTTTTAACTATTCTCCTAAGCTGCTTGGATAAACTTTTGATTATAAAAGGGTGGGATGTAATGCAGAATCAACAACATGATAATGTGTACAAAGTAGGCCTGGCCAACACTCCTCATAAACTTATCTACAGAATGGCTCCCAGTGGAAAAAAATTACTAAATTGTTCTCTCTCTTTTTTGAAAAAACAAAAACAAAACACAATACTTGATTTAATTCTTTATTCTGATAAAGAACATATGTAAACCACTGGCAAGAATCCAACTTATGTTTGTATAACTTCTGGGTAACCTGCCACAGCTAACTGCAGGCAATTGATGGGGTGCTGGGGTGTTTTTCAATCACAATGTCTGGTCACATGTCTGACTCGGCAACTGATATGCACTCTGGCACCTTGCCATTTAGCCATGACAAGTTACACAAACCTTACATAAACTCCACTGGGTTCCTGTAACTATAATTAGCACTGTGCGAGAACTGGTCATATTATCCACAAGGAAGTGAAGTAGGTATCAACTTTCATGTTGTCTGCATGTGCACTGTTTGTAAATCTGCACTAATAAATTAACTGACAGCAGAGAACCAAATTCTATTTTTAAATTGTGCACCAGCAGTTTCTTTGCACCACAATGCCAAAAAAGCTACGAGAAAGCCATTGCATTTTCAATGTGCTTAAAGAATTGGTTGTTGTGGGTTTTTTGGGCTCTTTGGCCGTGTTCAGAACACGGCCAAAGAGCCCAAAAAACCCACAACAACCATTAGATCCCGGCTGTGAAAGCCTTCGCGAAGCTTAAAGAATTGTTCGAAATATTCTTGCCTATAACACAAGCACAGGATATTGCATACACTGTACTGTATATAAAAAAATCTGTGATACATATCATCATACCAACGTGAAAATCTGATTTACTGTACCCTGGACAGACAAATCTGACAAGTTTATAGGCAAACCCTGAACTGACAGATACACCTCCAAAGGCCTATTCCTCAGTAACAGCCTGCATCTGACTGGATCATTAAACTACAGTGGTGTCCCACTTAACAATTACCCCGCTTGATGATGAATCCACTTCATGACAATGTTTTTGTGATTGCTATTGCGATCGCAAAACGATGTTTTAATGGGCAAAATCTGCTTTATGGTGATCAGTTCCCTGCTTCGGGAACTGATTCTTCACATTACAACAATCAAAACAGCTGATCGTTGGGTTTTCAAAATGGCCACCAGCTGTTCAAAATGGCTCCCTGCTGTGTTCAGGACGGATTTTTCGCTGTACAGGCATCAGAAAATGGCCGCCCTATGGAGGATCTTCGCTGGACGCTAAGGTATTTCACCCATTGGACTACATTGAACTGGTTTTCAATGCATTTCAATGGGCTTTTTTATTTCACTTGACGAGGATTTCGCTGGAATGGATTATCCTCGTCAAGCAAGGCACCACTGTACACTTCTGGTGGCCAAGGAAACAAAGAAGCCACTATCTTCTCACTTTGTATCAATCTGCATAATCTTTTGAAGGTAGTTCATCTCCACCTATGGGTTTCTTGACAGCACAGTTCCTGTTTCCTGACTCCTGGTAATGAATTAATTCCATGGATTCTCTCTACAGCACTTATATTTCAGGCAGTATCCAACTTAACTATTTTCTCTTTTGGCACTTTTTCAATGTCTTTTAAAGCTACTCTACTATTTTCCTGAAACACATTCAAAATGAAGTATATCAAGGGATACCTCAACATCACATACCACATATCTGTGCAAGTAAGGTATAGTTAGATGGTTTTAGTATGGTTCAATTTGTCAACTCTAACAGTAACAGCAATTATGTCAATGTATATGCAATACTCCATGTTGTACTAATCTGTACAAAAAAGAAATCCTTCACCTTTTGGAGCAGTTGACACAACACTTTGCAAGTTATCTGCATTTTCCCCACTGAAGCAACTAAGTACATGCTAATGATTAACTCTGTGTTGCTGATGATGAAATAAGATGCATGCTTTCAAGTTTCAAGTGTTTTTTCATCAGTCAAAAGAGAGCACAACAGGCCTCCTGATGGCTTACTTATTTAGTTAGAATATTTATATTATTCTGTATAGGACATTGCCATCACTAGGAAGCATACAATGCAGAAAAATCCAATTGAGATACCTTTATGCGCATCTATCTAGGTCAGGATAGCAAATGGAAGAAATGTGACTTTTTTGAAGCACTGTATTTTTTTTAATGCTGTCAGAATTACAACCATGAGGACACCACTGAGGACTCCCAATTCATTGTGGTTATTAGATTGGCTTTACTTGTGCAAGAGGACTTCTACAGAGGATTTTAATAAGCAGGAACGATCACACATAGATGGTCCTTTTGAAAATGATCTAATTGAAGTTTCTAGACCATCTTGAAGTTTCTACACCAGGCAGTCTCATTTAAAGGGTATTTTATTAATCACAACAAGACTGTGAACTAGTTAACTAGCATATAGATAAGAAAAAAAAATGCCTCACTGGCCCACTATTATGTTTTCCATAGCCGCTAACCAGATGCCAGAACACCAGGAAGACAGGGCTAGCTAGCTGTTATTTCCTAGCAAATGATATTCAAAAGTATAATGCCTCTATCAAAACTGCATATAGCCACAATCATATACACAAACAGCATAATCTCTCCACTAATTTGTATAATCCTATTTTAAAGCCATCTGAACTGTTAGCCATCACTTCTTGAGGAAGTAAATTCCACAATCTGCTATGTACAAAATATTTTAATGTTATCTATTGCACCTTCCTTCAAAAAAAAAAAATCAGTTTAAACCTGGGATGTAAGAAAAGCAACAAAAAATTGCTATTTCTTGCTATACTTCTCTAAACATTTGTAGGAAAACATTTCCAGGAACATCATCTAATCAACTTTCCATACAACATGTGCCATCTTTATTTTAACAGCAGCTGTACACTGCTGAAAAGATGCTCAATTTATCATCAACAACGGCCTTTCCAGCACAGCTAGTCTGTTATTCCATATTTCATGATCTGCATTTTATTTAGTAACTCTATTTGATCTTGGTTGGAATTAATTTTGTGGCTTACAGGCCAGCTCTCTAAACTATCAAGTTCATTCCAATCCCAAACCCTATCCTCCAAAGCATTTACAATCAAATTTTACTAGTTTACTTATGAGAATGTCATGTGGAACTGTGTCAAAAGCAGCGCTAAATTTGATTATGCTGAAGATTATATCTACTGCATTCCCTTTATCCACTAAACCACTTACCTTATAAAAGTCGGAGATTAGTCTGAACTGGCATACAGTATATTTCTTAAATTCACACTATGTCAGTCACCTCTGAATTTTCCTCCAGACACATATTCCAGAGTACAAACTATGTTGTATCAAAGGATTTGAGCAAGCTAGAAAATGCAATGGCTCAAACAGAAATATTTTTACTGCTATTTTCTGTTACTGCCCCAATCCACCAAAAGTATAGTACGTATATGTTAATAATTAACGTATACAAATTTGTTGAAATCAATGCAGGATTTACATTCTCTTGAAAACCTAATTTGCTAATATAGAACTTAATCTTAATCAATTTTCTAATATGTTCATTGTCAGACAGATGCAATCTCTAAAATAATCCAAGGCAAATTGACATAAATCATAGGGTCACTGTGATTTGAAGTGGCTTCTTCAATTATTCCCACATGTAATGTATATGAAAACTTTGAATTACAACATGGAGTCTATGCAGTTTGATCAAAGATGGCTGTTTGTTGAATTCCAAATCCAAATTATGAGCTCTTTTTGCATATTTTATTATTGATGTTTGACATTACACTTAGGTATCCATTAAAGTTACATCATTGAATTACACACTAAAAAATCATCCTTGTATTTATAAAGGTTCTGCATATCATTAATAAGTGTATACAGAATGGATCCTATAACCTGCCAGTTTACTGGAATGATCCAGAGAATGATAATTATTGTGGAGTAACATCCTAGAATATGAAGCATGGATCTACTGTAAAATACATTAATTAGCAAACCTAAGGGTGCTCTACATTACATAGAAATCATGACAAACATGCAGTTAATTAAGAATCTGATCTCTAGGGACTTATTTTACAGTGTTTCTTAATAAAGGCAAATACTTGGTTGATAATAACTTTTGTCTATTTTCTCTGTATATTCACTGGCCTACCATTCAAGCAATCACAATTCTGTGATTCAAAAATTAGTGAGTTAGATCTGGAATTGTGGAGAACAGGACTCTTCACACTAGACGACTTTGCAGGCACAAGTCTGGTGTGTGTGTGTGTGTGTGTGTGTGTGTGTGTGTGTGTACATACAAGTGTGTGTGTACATTTATGTGTGTACACTTGCTTTGCTGATTTTCGGGCTCTCCAGAGGTGAGACGGAGCATGAAGGGAGAAGGAAGAATTGGCAAGGATCACTATC